GACTGATGTGAATTACACTGTGACAGAAGGAACGAATTTACTTTAGGACTACACTTATCCCCATCACTCTTTCAGGCCTTCACCTATTGTCTGTTTACTAAGAGAAAAGATATAAAATAAAACATTTGTCATTTCTGGAATGCAGCGTATGTTTACAATAAAAATAAAGATCATATTATAGCCAGTCCATTCACACAAGAGAGCATCCTATAACCTTTGAATGCCGTTTTTATATATCAGCCGCTGCCATTAAATGCATGTGTCTACACTTTCATAAATGAGACCCATAAAAAACCTTTGCACAGAAATGTTATTGCTGAAAGCTATGATTTAAAACAGACCATTACTTTGATATATTCTATTTAGCATTATAAAGCCCATCTACATCGCAGGAGCTGGTAATTGGCAGCAATTGTCCACCTTTTTAACAGCTACCATATGGAAAAAAACCCCAGAAAATTCAGATTCCTGCATATATTGAACTTCATGTCATAAGAAAACTAAGGCTGACATTCTTTATGAAGGACGATGAAAGAGGACCATTGGGGTGCAATAAAGAAAAGACTAAATTCAACTCCTACATCCCCCCAGAACCTCCCCCATTTCAGCCATTGTAATTCAGTAGACATGTACATCTAYATTTTTAGCACTATTTTGTGTCACTCAAAAAGTTTCAATCTTTTGCTCACCGAGGCTTTGGATTACAGTCATTCCATATTTAGATACATCTCTGTGTGGAAGGAACAGAAGTTTTCATATTTCTGATGAGGTAAGACCCAGGAAATACTACTTTTTTTTTTGCTTACTTATATGCACCTGTTCTTGCACTAGAATCTTTTAATAGGAGGATGCAGGATCAGTAAAATGTGCTGAACTCATTTATGCAAGGCAACTCTATACACTTTAAAAAAAAGCAAACCAAAACCTCCATAGTTATAGTATTCTCTTTTGTTTGTGCAAACAAATCATATCACAAAATCAAGTCTACATTAAAAACAAGTAAGTAATTCAATTTAGATACAAATACACTAAGAATAAGAAAAAAATTACATAACAATATAGTATTTAGAGAGATCTCTTAAAGGAGAATTACATTAACATCCCTAAACTACTTTAAAAAGTGACTGAATTATCAAGGTGCAAACACATTTCCAATTGAACAGACTTCCACCTGCACTACAGACCTTTTGCACCATGGAATTTCAAAATGAGCATGCTACCACACCTGCTTTTAAAGGAAAAATGAAATGAAGAATAAAGAGGACCTTCTAAAACCCCTTMCCCAAACCTGGATCACATGCAAAAGCAAGCTTTCAATAGTGTGATACATAARCATTTTCACAAGCTTTGTCATAACGACAAAGCAACAAGAACATACATAAASATCATTCATAAATTTGCTTTTGTGGGAGGAAGAAAGAGATCCTTACAAAAAAGATAATCTATCTTCCCAATGYAATTTACTGCACTCATTGATCAATGAATGCAAAACAGAAGGKTTTTGTACAGTTGTACAGTCATGTAGAATTTCTGCAACTGAGTATTTTCTCCATCACACACCTATTTGTTAGTCCAACCAAACTGTACTGAAGTCAAGAGAGAAGCTATGTTGCTTTGAATGTTTTTTTTTTTTCCATATTAAAACATGCAATTTAAAACAGCAAGTGCTGATATCAACTTTAAACCTGAAATGAACTTTTTTTTGTCCCTATTAGTTCTTAAAGTTTGTTTTCCTGTTCATGGGTAACAGAAGGGAACAGATATCACAAACCAGACTGCTGAAAGATTCCATTTATTTATCATTACCTATGTAAGTACTTTCTGAAAAAAGTGGAATTGGTCTAAACTTCATGTTTTCTTATATTTTTCATTGTCATTATTAGGAGGAAAGCTGAACAGCTTAATATTTTTCAATTTAAGTAGATCAATTAAGCCTTCAACTAAAATGACTATCAGAAAAGTAAAAAATAATTCCAAGTGAAATACAAGCTCTCCATTTCTGGTCTGTACTAAATCTCAGGCAGCCTGACAGGCAATGGCTGTACCACTTGTTTAACACCACAGCACTCAGCACACCTTGTCAGCTGAAGTGGCTGTTTCAYGCCCAAACCATGACCCTCAAAAATAAACTTACACTGAGTACTCAAGGTATGATACCTGTAATAAAAAATTGTGCTGCAAAATGAAGTTCTGGTAATGCTGAAAGTGAAGGTCTGTGCTTTCAAGAGCACTGCTCTGATTTATGAAAAAGCTGCTGTTCCCATAACAGATTCTCTCAATAAACACTCATGCTATACATCTTATCTATGGGAAACTTTTGCCTGCAAAGATCAGGATTAATTTTAAAAAGAGATCACTTTGTGTCTTAGCAACTCACATTTCATTGCAGTTCTTTTCTGAAAGCACAGGTTGCTATTCCGCCTCCAACAGAAAAAAAGGGGAAAAAAAAATCGAGCTTGCTTTTAGTGCTTCTTTTCTTGCTTTGTCTACCAATGTCTGTAAATTAATTTCCTGAACATTTAGAAGAAAAGTTTTGTTGCCTGAATCAGATGATGGCATGCTCATCAGCAAGAACAGCACAGTCCCRGCCATTCTAGTCCCCAGTTTGGCAGCTCAAAAAGATAACAGCCATGGCACTAGGAATGTCCTTCTCTATATGCATCCTATGAAAGGACTTGGATAGGCTGATCATCACAATGAACATTAGGGACCATTTATTCTATAGATCTGCCCAATTCATATATAATCTGTGGCTATTATCAAAGTATCACCTACATCTATTTAAATTCCCTATGTATTTAAGACTATTTGTAGTTTCAAGGTACCAGAGCAATGCAACCCTGCCAGCAGAGCCAGCTGGAGACTCCTTTGGGTTTAGCATGAACTGCTTGGGAAGCCACAGCAGTCATGGAGTTAACTCCTCAAACTATCCATGCTCTTGTGGGCAGAAGAAATCCACAAAAAAACCCACCAAGAAGTGGAAATCACCGTATCCAGAGGTTTGGGGTAGAAAGTACAGGGAGTTCAGCAATCAAACCTGTTTTAAAATACAGTTATTACACAGGATCTCTGATAGAGCCAAGCTCTTCTGAACCTCAATTTGCATTTAAAAATATGTAATTTTCACGTATTCTTGACAATTACTTAACTGAAACTTGGTTTGGTTTTTTTTTTCCCTAGGATATGAGAATGGAAATGTCAGGAGTCTTACTATGAGTAAAATAAATGGATGACAGCATTGCATTCTTCATCCTCCTCAGGTTCTGAATCATTATTAGGAATCCACACTAATTGCATTTCAATGTGCCTGACAACTTTTATATGATACTTATTCCTTGTTGGGGTAAGCAACAGGGAAAAGCACACAAAATTAACTGAACAACAAAGCAAATGTCTTTCAATACATGAAACTACAAAAATTTAGGGAAGGTCAGTAAGAATTTTCTTATGAAGAAATRAAAACAGAAAGAACCCTGAAGACCCCTCAAATTATCCCAGGAAACTGAGGATACAACTTCAAAACCTGATGAATAAAGACAAGAGGCAAAAACTGCCAAGGGCAAGAAGAAATAGTGACAGACCATTTTCRCACTTTGGGTCCAAGTCAAAACTGTGAGAAAATATCCAATAAAACAAAACTGGTCTGTTTCTGAAACATGGCAGGCTGAGTTCTAAAAAATGATCACAAGTCATTAGAAAAAAATAAAAAGAAAGTAATTATATGATTTCCTAAACAAAGCAATCTGCAATCCCCAACTTTCTTTTTCAGCAGTGATAAATCAATCCACACTTAAAGAATAWTGAAATGGTTCCTCCAAAGGTCTGGAAGAAGCTTGGCATCACTACCAGGCATGTGAAAGGTATAGCTGTGTTGGCAGAGATGTTATAAATATCTAAACAAGGATATATATATCAGTGCTTAAGAGGAGCAAGGACTTTGGGTTTAAGCTTACTTCCCCCTGCTGYTGGGGTATGAAATGATCTTTCAGCCTATTTTTGCAGCTTTTGTGAGTAAGTTTATCTTCCTTTTCTGATCATGTGCTGATGCTCTGGACTATTTGTCTTATTTTGATTCATCTGGCTTTAACAAACAAATGTACGAGACACAYGAGAAATGCAGGGATGCTGTCATTTCAGGCTGACCTAAGATATGCAGATTCCTTTTATTTCCAGCTTTGATATTGATCCAAAGCAGAAAATCTTGTTACAAAATCAAAATATTTACACTCAGTCCAACTGAGGCTACACCTACTTATTAATGCAGGGCTTCACCTCAGTGTGTATCACACTTAGGCACCTTTAGAGGGAAACATGAAGAACAAAGAAATGAGACCTCTTGATTATTTTCTACCTTACAAAAATGGGGGAAATAGCAACAAAGCTGTCAGTAAAAACCTCCGCATCTCTAATGTTCCTTCTAAAGACATATTTAATCATAAACAGGCCATAGAAAGAGACTAGGCAAGCCAGAGGAGCAACATATATAACCCTGAATATGCAGTGGTTTGATATCCTTTTGGAAAGCATACCATTTCAGATTGCTACAAATCCAGAACAGCTTCTTACAGCTAAAAAATATCCKGCTGAATATTTCTAGTATATTAAACACAGTTTGAAAAAATAGCTTCTCCAAGAATAAGAATCCAATGAATACATATAAAGAAAAGTCAGTGACTCTTAGAAGTTTTAAAACCCTCCAGCACATCCTTTGGTGTACACAGGCAAAAAAAAAAAGACAACAATGTGTGCACTTTATGTATATATTTATATATGTGTGTGTGCACTCATCCTGCAATAAAAAAAATACAAAATTCAGCTTAAGCCTTACAGCTCTGTAGCTATCAATCAATGCTTTTCTCAGTACATTTTCTAGAAGGCTGCTCCTTTCTACCTAGATAATTTAGTGCAATAACTAATTTCTTTCTTGTATAATTCTTAATGTTCTGAAGAGTTTTTAGAGGGCATTTATGTCTCCATGAAATATAAGCTAAATTATTTACCTTTCTTCCTGCTAAAAGCACGATTCATGGTGGAAAATCTATCCAGTCAATGATGCTTCTGGGTTTGGTTTTTTCCTCCCCACTTTAACCTGCAGAACAACACATATAAGAAAACAGAAAATTCCATTATTATAACTGAAGCTCCATTTATCTATGCATTAAAAACTGTGCAAAAGAATTCTGACATAATTCTGAGAAATAAAGTGGGGATGTGCTTTGCTGAGGAAAAAATTTCAGCAWTGGGAAGATCTACACTCAAAACTCCAAATGATGCTTCATTAAGACATTTTAAGGTGTTTCTATGACACCTTAAAATCACTAAGATTTCAGAGCAGGTGGTACTGTACATTTACATGAAGACAAATACCACACACAAATAGGTTGGGAAAAAAGCTTTAAGATGAATGCTGACAACAAGACTCCATAAAACCCCTCTGTTTGCATTTGCACTGCCCTGTTTTGTGTCMTTTCTGGCTGTCAGATTATTTCAAGCTGGGCTTTCGACTTCACATGGGCTTGACATTGGTGGGARGGAAATAATTACAATATATAGACTCTTCTTCACCCAGGGACTCAATACTGAAAAAATTGCCTTCTATCAGCATTACTACATTCTTGCTCCATATACCTCAGATTATACAGTAATCTCTGTATTTTCTTCCCTCAAAAAACATGGATACACTCTTAAATTCTTCCTTAATTTTTGACTCACAATACTATTTTTGAATTTTATTATTTACCAACATAAAGAAACAATAAAATCCACTACATCCAAAGCTATTCAAGACCATCCCATTCTGCAGTACAGAGCTTTTCCTTTTACAACCACATGTAAAGATATTCCCATTACTACTTTTCATTCTGTTCAGATTTTCCAAGCAAACGTTGCACCAGTGCCCTTTCTCTTTCTCTGCTCTCCAAGCAGYYCAGTCAAAGGAAAAGAGAAAARAGTAAAAATAAAAAAMAAGMAAAATCAAAMCACTTTGCAATYAGCTGATTTTTTAATCAACTGGAACAGCACCTTTGCTTTGCATAAAAAAACAGATTTAGGCCAGTATTTCAAATGTCAGATTAAGATGACTGACAAATTAAAATAAGATATTTTATGCAGCTCATGAATGATTCTTGTGGTACTTACCCTTCTTTTTCAAGTAAGTTCAACACCAATTAAAGAAATTATATTCAAATTTCCATGTAAGTATTTGATATATTCCAGATTGGAACACATGGGTGTGTGTTCCAACCAAAAAAACCACACCAAAACAACAAAACCTCAATTTTATTTTCAACTAACTAATCACTGATGCAGCAGGGCCAGACCAAACACTATAGTTCTCCTCCATGATGGGATCATAACATGCCCTTTTTGAGAATGCCTTTTTTGTGTGTGTTCCTATCCTCCTCCAAGAGACTGCTAAGGAACATATTTGAGATGCTTACTGCATAGAGCATTTYCTAAATAGAAGCTCTGCAGGCACATCACAAGGCAGCTGGCTGGCCACTTYTCTAGAGATCACCATTCAAGTATTTTGTTTAAAACAGTGTTAACTGAGTATGTGTTTCTTCCTCATGAGCAAGGGTATATTACCACTGAAATAACCTACACCAATAAAAGCCAAAATTTATTGGCTGTTAGCTAAAAATGGGCACCATTGCCAAAATTATGTTCATAATTTCAGTTCCAACAAAACATCAGTAGAACAAAACACAGATGTGTCTTAGGCAACAAACAATATCAAAACACTTCATCAGTGTACTTCCACCTCACTGAAAATATGTTATTAAATAGGGAAACAAAATTAGCTACACATAACTGCATTTACAATACCCTCAAACTCTAATACGAACAAAATAATCAACCTCTCAGATGCYGAAAGAGCAGATGATTAAATGTTCCATAAAATTTTGCTATTTACAAAAGACCAACTCAAACACCACARTGTTCATTTCAATCTCCTCAGTTGCCCTTGGGGCACGAGGGTGGTATCAGACTGTCCTACACAGCACTGGTAAGTTTTCCATCAGAAAAGCAAARTTATGTTTAGACATCCTGCAATAACTTTGTTCACTATGTTCCAATGACAAAGAATAAAACTCCTAGGAGCAAGCTGTTCTCCGATAACGGATGGTAGACAGGCTTTTTTTGGCAGAAAACAATTGTGTTTYTGACAAATATTAGCACACAAAAACACTGGAACAAACCAGTCTGTAAAGAGCCAAAAGGAAGACAAGGCAGAAAATCCAACTCTGGTACAGGGGAGAGGGGAGAGTCTTCCCTACAAACCATTTGATTTGCAAGGGTAAAGCAGTTTAACAATCAGAGGCATTAGGGAATAGGAATGTTGACCAAGCCATTCCATTACTCATCACTCAGGAAGACACACCTAGGTTAAGAATGTTTCTCCACCTTACTCTGAAGAGTTTTCTTCAGCTTTGTCCAGAAAACAAACCCCACTGGGAAACAGAAAACCTCCACGGGATTTCACCAAATGGTTAACTGACAAAATGTGAAGAGCTCTGACAGGTACAAAATAGGGAAAAT